TTTTTTGAAAATGTTTTTTTCTAGTCACATTCTAGTGTATTCCTTAGAGGGGAGCTTGCCCGAGTACAGACAGCTACGATGAACATCCTCTGCCTGATGGAAACTCCAGCACAAACAAACACATACATAAGGAATATACAATCAGGATAAAAATGAATGGCCATGTAGGCCTGGACAATTATACACTCACCTCCAAAACAAAGGTGAATTTTAGAAGGGGAGATGGAAGGAAGAGGGAGCATGGGTGTTTGAACACATTCATTTCATCTCATGGAGAGGTGTCCTCTCTGTGCTCTTTCAGCCAGAGGAGTACCTTACATACAGATGCTTTGTAAATGATGCTTGAGTGAATTAATTTGGGCAGTGCACTCCATAAGTTTTCCAAAGTAACTCTTTCAGGCTTTGGCAATCTGAATATAAAAGAGTTCAAACTTACCAACAGTAAAGTTTCCCAGAACCTGCTCTTAGAAACCCATTCTACAGTGAGTGACACATAAATCGATGAAAATTTCTTATTTGATGACAAAATGATTAAACAAATTAAGTTTTCTGTTTCTCTCATAGAGGAAGGAGTCAACTGGGGGCCAGTAGTCTCAGAGTATGATACCATATTGCCACACATGCACTCTTCATCTGTTCCTTCAGGGAACAGTCATTATCCATTATAAACAGTTATAAACATTTATGAAACACACAGACATGCATACACACAAACACACATCAAGATAAAGAGGAGTGTTATAAGGATCTAATACAGTACAAAGAGCTCTTGTTCTAACATGAAAGACAGACATGTAACAAATTAATATACCAACAAGGAGTTGAGTGCTAACATTAGTGAATAGCAGACAACAACTGAGGCAGAAGGAACAGCTTGGAGCAGCTAGAAAAGGCTTATCTACTTGTGTTGAGTGCATAAGAATGTAAGGCCACTTAAGGAAATATTTATGACCCAGTACAGCTTCTTCGAGCTCCAGTAGAAACTGAGATAGAGGGGAAATAAGATTGGACAAAATAAATGGAGATCAGACAAGAGAGATTAGAATCTCAGAGCACCTGTGAGGGACTTGTCATGGAAAGCACCTGTATTACTTCTGTGGCTAAGGCAGGAGGGACCAGATCTGAAAAAACTGTGTAGCCCATGCAAAGGAGAACTTTACCTTATAAATCACGGGAGCTATTGGAATCTTTTAAGCAGGAGTGACATGGTCACATTTGATTATTCAGTATTCAGGAACATCTTCCTGCCAGGTAAATGGATAATTAATTCATCCAGTATGAACCGAGTGCCAGCTTCCTGCCAGACGCAGTTCTAGGAACTGAAAGATGTTAATGAGCAAATCAGACAAAGATCTCTGTCATTTTAGTGATTAGATTCTTATCGAAGATAGTAGATGATAATGTAACAAATGAGTG